GCTGTTGGATTGATTTCTCATGTTCTCTTACTTTTTTCTAAAAGAGATTCTTCTTTTCATGGTCACTGATCACAATCCTTTTATATCTGAAATTCTGTCTTCATATCCTATCTTCTGTATCTGATATCATGTCTTCCAATTGGCTCAGTCTGTTATGTATACTTCCAAAGAGTTTTTAATCTCCTGTATATCTGTTTGAATCTGTTTCATGGATTCCATTTTTTTCCTATGCTGGGCATTGATGGTTTCCGTCTTTCCTCTGTTGGATATTCATGGCTTCTATCATGGTCCTGAGCTCATGTATTTTTTTTAATGTGTTTCTGTTCTAGTTTCTAATCATGTCTTTCATTCTGCTCAACATCTCTGTAGTTATCTTGGAAATTGTTTCTGTTTTCAGTTTTTCTAGAGTCTCATTCATCTGTTTCATTACTTTCTGCGCTGTCAATTCAGGATGTCCAGGTGGTTGATTATCCAACTTTTCTGCATCATTTCCTTCAGAATTTGCCTTTGATGAACAGGCAGCCTTTGTTTGTGCTTGTGCCTTGCTTGAATGTCTTCTCATTTCTATTTTTGTTGTTAGTACTGTCCTTGGTTTAATTCTTGGGTTAATACTTTGATCTTTCTGTTATAACTTGTCTTTAGGTTTTGAGTCTCTAATGACTCTGAGGCAATCTCATTTTCATTGTACCAGGAAGAACAACTGATTAAAGCAATTACAACACCAAATATTACAACCAGCAAAACAATACTATCAAGTGCAGCTTAGACAAATCACAATTTGTGGTGGTTATTAGTCTATCACCTTTAACTGTTTGAATTAAATCAAAATTGAGGTTAGAGCTCAGAACAAAGAGCTTTATGACCCCCTGTGCCTCTGTGGTATGAATCCAGGTATCAGCCCAGCCAGGAGGCCAGAGGCATGTGCGGGGGTGGGGGTGGGGACTGCAGGTGCCTGGGCTGCACCTCTCACTGTTCTTCTGCTGAGGCCCAGAGGGGTGGGGCTGTGGTCCCAGGCAAGCTCCACAGGGCTGTGCTTCTCTAATGTAGGTATCTTTCTGCTTTAGTTTCCTTCTGTCCACTCAGATGCATTGCTATATTCCATATATTTTATATATTGTTTTTGTTGTCACTTTTTATTATTTTACATAATGTATATAGTCTCTCATCCACTGTTTATTAAATAAATGTTGTTTAATTGTCATTGTTTAGTCATTTCACCATATATATATTAAAGTGCACCATAAATATGATATTTTATTTTCCAGTTAAAAGATATTTCAAGTATGAATTTTAAAATTCCCACATATTTGTGAATTTTGCAATGTCTCCCTGTGGCAAATTTGCTTTAGCAGTGTTTTTTGATTACTTGGCTTGTTATTTCCAGAATGAAGAATCATTTACTAAATGCAGATGGAACACTTTGTGAAAATTCACAAACCCAAATGTAGATAAAAATCTCAACCCTCGTGAATTGTACATTCCAGTAGAATGAAATATTTATGATTGTAATGTTACAGGATTTTAAAATAGATTTCATCTAAAGATACCTTTTGTGACTCAGAGTCATAGAGTGAATAATTCTGCTAGTCTACAATTCTGAGAATACCCAACTGTCATTTATATTATATGTACATTGCACCTAAAGCTTAGGAGCTTAAGGACCATGAAGAAAGAAAGACTATCTGAACCCCAAAGCTATCTTCACCAGAAGTCTCTGGTTCTTGGATCTCATCATTCCAAATCTCTGGTCTCAGTCATTTGGCATCCTAGAGAATTCCCTGCTGTAGAGACTGAACTGTGAGGGCAATGAGACAAGCTATGGGTCCCTTCTCCTCAAGCTGTTCCATGCACACCCACCTGAGGCTCATGATGAGAACCAATAGAGGCACCAGCCATGAGCAGAAGTGGAGAGTAAAATATACACAAAAATGAGTAAAGATGAAATCAGATGGGGGAGAAAAAAAGAAAGTGAGGCAGAGATAGGGAAGAGACAAGGGACAGAGGGAAGCAAGTAAAGGGGAAATGAGAGAAAAAGCTGAAAAGGAAGAGCCAAGGAAGAAGAAAAATAGCCTCTTATTACACTCTCGACAGTGTCTCTCATTATCTACAGCCTTTCGTTCCCATTCCCTATTTCTATCTCTGCTTCTCTGTCCTTGTATGAGCCACTCACTGTCTAGAAATTTCAGCCTCCCTGTCTCAATTTCTTTGGCTCTCCCCTCAGGTCTTTCTAGTGCACTTTAGTCTCTGTTACTCTGCACTATTTTTTTTCTCTTTATCTTTCACCTAATCTCTCTGACTGCCTGTAAGACCATTTTTTATTTTACAACTCTATAGGGGTAAGGCCTGGCTTTGCTGAGGAATAGAGGGAGAGGGAGGTTCCTAAGCACCCTTGCTCCCTTTCCTTTTCTAGACAATAAAGCATGACAAGTTTATACCAGAGAATGTAAAAGAAGAAGGGACCTCAGAGGAACTCACACCTATCTCCTGTAACTTAGAAATTAATATGATCCTATTCACAAATGTTACCAACTCATCAGTATATCAATAATTATTAGTGAGAGATCCATTGTGGTAGATTAGAGTAACCAGGGCACTCCATTTGGAGGACACTCACCAGGATCCGAAAGTATTCAGGAATAAGGCAATCACAAAGAAAATGTGGCATTTATACATAATGGAATTCCTCTCAGCTGCTAAGAATGACAATTTTGAGACTTCTGTTGGAGAATGAATTCCCTGAGAAAATATGCTGAGTGAAATAAATCAGACATAAAGGCTTTCATACCATATGCTATCTTTCTTTTGATTAAGGAAAAGTACAAAGAGCAAAATAAAGGAGAGATAGAAGGAAACAAGCAGATAGATCTCCTGCAAATGGGAAGGGGTTCAGGAGACTGAGGGCAAGGGGCAAAGAGGAGAGGAAGGGGAAGTAAGAAATATCAAGATATGCCATGGATATGGACCAAATAACTACAATGAATGCAAACATTACATGTCATAAACATGAGCTAAAAAGAATAATAAGACTCCCAGCATAGTTGAAGATTTGGTACTTAAAGCCTTTCAGAGCCAAGAGTGTCTGGACAAGTATAAAGTGGGTGTTGGTGACCAGACTGTGGCTTCTATCAATACTCCTGCAGTGCCTTAATGATACCCTGCTTTTTTCCATATTAATTATTTTTTCCTAATACTTATGTGATTCTTGCTTTCTTGTTCTCCCTCCTTACAGTAGGGCAAAGGCCTACTAGCTACTGTACCTTACCCAAGAGGCATATCTCATTGGTAAAACCCTCTCTCTCCAGTCCCCCCTTCTACTCTTAACTCATTCTGAGAATGAACATTGGGCTTGAAGGCCTGAAGTTTCCCATCAGAATGAGGCGTAGAAAGGAATTCCCAAATAAGTGTGCAAGGAGACCTCTGATAAAAATTCTAAGCACCATGAATTGCAAGCATCAGTGATCCAAATATTTTGAGTCCAAGGTTTAGGCATCTAAGATTCCAAGAATTTGAATTTTAGACTCAGTAGGATCTGATCATTGTGTTACTTCACAATTCTTAAGATTTCTCGAGTAGAGGTTGATGAAGCCCCCTAAAGAGATGTGCATATGGATCAATGTGGTTTGACTCTGATGCTGGGTCGTTAACCCACACATTAGTGATAATGTGTATTATCAATGGGTTCATCCTTATCTTCATTTTAGTGAGCAGGGGGAAGCCCATTCATAGAGCTTATGTTTTAAGACACAGATAAAATAAATTCAGAAATGTAACAATCACAGCTTATCATGAATCCTGTAGAGAACAGGAGACCCCTTCCCTTTCTTTGATCTATATCACATTCCCTATGATGGGGTGAGTTCCCTGTGTGTGTTTGGATGGGTAAGCTCGTGTGTACAGCACTTAGCTGTAGAAAGACAGAGATCCTAGGCTGATATATACAGCTGCTCAGATGGTGCACCACTCAAACACACTACACCAGAGGGATTTGTACTAACTCATTAGAGACCAGGCAAGAGATGATAAGACTGTCCTCTGGGTTTTACAGCTGATCCAAGATCCACTGGAAATCCCAACCCTTAGGACACCATGACATGATCTGTGTTCAAGCATATCCCGAAAAGATCATACAGTCATACACTTGTGTGCAATTCTGTCCATGAATTTATGTCTGATTTATTTCACTCAACATATTTTCTAAGGGAATTCATTCTCCAACAGAAGTCTCAAAATTGTCATTCTTAGCAGCTGAGAGGAATTTCATTATGTATAAATGCCACATACATTCATGGCTACGTGCTGAACCAATGTTTTCCTGGCTTTCTCTGGAACTGTTTGTCTCCCTCAGACACATCATTGGGAGGCCTAACTCCAGCTCCCCGATTGACTCTAGGCATGCACAAGTTGGTGAGAGTGGGGGTAAGTGTGTGGTGAAGCCAAGTCACCTGGCTGCCAGGACTCTAGAAAGAAAGGAGGAAAGAACCCAGACAAACCCTGGACAAGGCTGCTCAGATTGTGTGATCATATACTAAGCTCTTGTTTTATTTGTTGAAGGGGTGACTTGTTTTTCTTGCAGTACTGGGACTTGAACCCACGACCTTTCCACCAAGCTACATCCTCAGCCCTTCTCCCCTTTTTAAAATACAAGATCTTGCTAAGTGACTAAGTTGCCCCGGTTGGGTTCAAACTTGCTCCCGCCTCAGCCTTCCAGAGTGCTGGGATTAAAGATGTGCATCACCACATTGGGTTAAAGGGTGACTTTTAAAAATCTGCCCAAGTACAAGGGCACAGACCTGTGTTCAAAAATTTGCTGGGCACTTATGTTCTGTGAGACCATGGTGACTTAAACTGTCTAAAACTCAGCTTTGTCACCTGTAAAACAGGCATGAACATTTTTTCCCTTTGCGTAGGTTTGTGATCACTGAGATCGCGTTCTGCTTTCAGCACAGAGCTGACAGAGAATACTCAATAAATAATAGTTGTTATTATTGTTATTATTACAGCACGGTGTAAGGTTTCCCTTTGCTCATGTCAGCTTCAAAGGATCTATCTTTAGCAAGGTAAGGAATCTGTTGTTTCTTCCCTCTTGCCTGTAAACCAGGTCCCTTCATTTCTCCTTAGCCCCTCCCACACTAGCCCCTGCTGACAGAGAATACTCAATAAATAATAGTTGTTATTATTGTTATTATTACAGCACGGTGTAAGGTTTCCCTTTGCTCATGTCAGCTTCAAAGGATCTATCTTTAGCAAGGTAAGGAATCTGTTGTTTCTTCCCTCTTGCCTGTAAACCAGGTCCCTTCATTTCTCCTTAGCCCCTCCCACCCACTAGCCCCGCCCCCGCCCTTCCCTTCCGGTTCCCGCCCACTCGCTCTGTCTTGACCGCAGCCCTGACTTAGCGGAGCTGGAAACTCATGGTGTAGTTCGGTGGGATGGTGGCAAAGCCCACGTGTTTGGGGGACACGTCGATATCCCAAGGCGCCTGTGGGGACTTGAAGCGGAAGTTCTGCAAGATGGTGGTGAGGAAAAGGAAGAGCTCCATTCTAGCCAGGCCTTCTCCAAAACAGTACCGCTTTCCTGAAGACGAGAGGAAGGAAGAGCGCTGGTGAAATCAGGTGTCCCCGAAGTCTCCCCCTGCAATACTGAGGCCCAGCTACATGGTCCCAGGAAGAAGAGGCGGCAACATTGTGGCCTGAGAGGCCTTTTCAGAAGCCTGCAGTCCTCTCAGAGCCTCATTTCCCTTGTAGGTGAGGTAGGGTGTTTGATGTCAGGCTCCAGCAACGGGAGGCTTAGATGCCCCTTCCCTCCAAATATATTCTTAAACATGGCTGCTCTGCTCCCATCTCTTTTCTAAGAGTCAGAAGAATGGGATTGTGTATCCTTGGAAAAATCTAACTCACTCTGCTCCTTCATTTTCTCCACCTCTAAATGAGGTTTAGTCATCCCTTTCCTTTTTCCTGGGTGCAGGTGCACGGTACTTCTTAGAAACTGGGTTTGCAGGTGATTGCCTGGACAGTAGATTCCAAGAGGAGCTTCCCATCTAGAGTAAGATACAGGCTGCACCTTACATAGGGGACCTGGAATAAACTGGCCTCGATGGTAGAAGTACATGAGCGGCAAATAACGGACTCTTACCAATGGAAAAGGGCACAAAAGCATCACTCTTCTTAAACTGCCCCTTCTCGTCCAGGAAGTGCTGGGGGTAGAAATCTCGGGGGTTGGAGAAGAACTTGGGGTCTCTCAGCACAGAACCCAGCATAGGGAACACTTCGGTGCCCTGGCAGAGAAGAGATGGGCATTGATAAGGTTTGAGGGGGTGAATGTGTTCAAAGGTATTAGAACGCTCTCTTGTGGAGAAAAGTGGGAAACACAGGGTTGGCATCTGAGATATGCCCTGGGGGGTAGGAGTTGAATCCTCTGAGGCATGAGGTGTGGGGAGACATGGGATACAGTGGTCCCTGAATGCAAACAATAAGGAAATACAGTGCTTGAGGAATCCTTTGGTTGAGGGGTTCAGACATGGGCTGGGAAGGTTCTAGTGGGGATAGGGTGCTGGAGTCCCAGGGAACAGATCACTGGTCCCTGTAGGCTGGCACCTTGGGGAGGAGGAAGTCTCGAAACTTGGTGTCCTTGATGACCCTGCGAGCCAGGCCCATGGGGATCATGTCTCCGAATCTTTGGATCTCATGGATCACTGCCTCTGTGTAGGGCATCTTGGCCCTGTCTTCAAACTTGGGCTGACGATTCTTGCCAATCACTCGGTCAATCTCTTCATGGATCTTGGCTGGAGGAGAAGAGTGAATGTGCTGAGGTAACCAGGGGCTCTGGGTGCAGATGATATATAAAACTGGATGCATGACAAGTGTCTGTACACACATGGGTGCAGGCCCTCAAAACAGATGTTGCCATACACATTGCTGGAGCAGGGTCCTGTTAATCTGATCATGCCAAGGTCATAGATGAGTCATAAGGAAGGGATGGCCTGGGACATGGGGAAGCTAGCAGTGGGCTTAGCACAGAAGAGCTGTACTGATCAGCTCACACACTTCCATTATTTCATCAACTAGTGAGACTCAGCTCCTTCCTATCAGCAGAACAAGGCTGCTTCTGCACAGGAAGTTGTGAGTGTCCAGGGACCCAGAAGGAGTGGGGTCATTGCAGCAGGTTCAGAGGAGTTTGGAGGATCTGTTGCTCCATTTTCCTGCACCCTCAGCCTTACCCTCCACATCTGGGTGCTTCATGAGCAGCAGGAAACCATAGCGCAGGGTCGTGCTGACGGTCTCTGTGCCCGCAAAGAAGAGGTTCAGTGTGGTCAGTACCAGGTTCTTCATGTAGAACTCCGTGTTAGGGTTCTTATTCTCCTGAAGGGAAAGAGGGCTTCAGGCCAAGCCTACTCCCTATGTCCTTGGGCCCTTTGGAGGTTCTCCTTTGACCCACTTCTCTTAGATACAGACCTAAGGTGGGACTGGGGACCCTAGATATATCAGCCTCTCTCCTGTTTCCAGGCCTTTAACCAGGCTGCTGTCTCTGCCTGAAATGATCTTCCATGATCTTCATGTGGATAACTACCTGCCATTTAATGATCTGTGTAGTTGTCACTCTGTGTGGGTGTGGTGCTAGGGATTGAACTCAGGACCTTGCACTTGCTAGGCAGGCTCGGCACCACCGAGCTACATCCCCAGCCCACTTGTCACTTTTTAAATGGTAGAAATATTTAGAAAAGGAGGGTTAGGGAACTGCTGGGAGAAAGATGGGCAGAGATGTCAAGGTGGAGTGAGTCAGTGAGAATAGGAGACAGTTTTTCTGAGACAGATACAGAATTTTAAGTGACAGCATCCTTTCCTGCCCTAAACATCTTGAAGCTTCTTGTGGAGGACTCTCTTCCTTTGATCCTCTGAATTTCATACTACATAAAACTTCGTCTCCTGTCTGACAAATGGAAGGCTGAGGGGAGATGAGGGTAGGAACCTTCCATTGTTATGCCTATAAAGCCAAACCACCTGTTTAAACCAGTGTATCTGATGACTAGGGTTAAAGAAAGGATAGAGAACACGGTGGCCATGGGCACCCATCTTAGAATCAGAGAGACCAGGTCTGAGCTAGAGGTCACTGCTTCCTTGCAACCCAGGAAAGCCAGTTATACTCCCTGGTCTATAGTTTCCTCACTTATGAATTTTGAGTCATGGTAACAGAACCTTGTTGAAGATTGGTTGTGGTTGGAAAGTGCCATCACGAACTTACAATAATGCCTGGCTCATAGCAGTGTTGTATAGGTGGTTGCTATTGTAATTTGCACACACAAGTTCTACCTGTACATAGGGTCCAGGAGATGAAAGAATAGTATCTTTACTTGTGACTGGGGTGGTGAGGATTATTATGATGAAGGTTCCTGTGAGTGGGCCCCTGCTCTCCCTCCTCCATCACTTGATTCCCATCGACCAGGCTTTGGACCTCTCCACCCTGGCTGTTGGGTGTACCTCCTGCATTCGGATAAGGAAGGAGTCGATGAAGTCCCTGGGGGAATTGGGGTCCAGTGTGCGTTGGTTCTGCTCCACCTTTTTGGTTATGAAGTCTTCAAGTCCCTGAAGCTCTTTAAAGGCCTGTTGCTGTGGTCCTGGCAGGTGCTTCATTACAGAAGAGAACATCTCATAGAGCTGGAGGTTGTGGCGGGAGAAAGCAATGACAGCTGTCAGTGGGCAGGACCCAGTGGGAGTAAGGACTGTCTAAGGCCTTGTCTAGGTAATTAGTATTTGCATGAGATTGGATGACACCATATCTATACATTTTCATACAGGTTGAATATGAAGGTTATTTTTGTCCAAGGGTGTAGGTGAGATGGACTGGCGTACACATTGCTTTCAGGTATTCAGGTAAGGGATGCACTGGAAGTTGTCTAGATGTTGAGATTTTCTGATGGGACTCTCGTGAGGGCTCACCTGTTTATGTGTTTAAGCATTCAGGAAAGTTCAACTGGAAAGCTCAAGCTGTTGATATATTTATAGGATTTGGACTGGGGATTTCTGAAATGTGTTCAGGGATGAAAGCAGTGCAGGTGTTCAGGTGTGAAAGTGAGGAGAGAAACTGTTCACCTGTTTAGTTTTCACAGGGCCTGCGTAGGGGGGGCCTTCTTGTATATGTGAGTGAGTTGTTTTAAATGATGCTTTTGGGGGTGTTTGGGGAAACATTCTTTCCTGGATATTTCTGTGTGGAGTCTTGGTTTTAGTACCTGTCCACACATGCAGGCATGTAAGCATCTGTCTTGCCCACAGGTTCTCTTTTGGGGCAACTTGAGATATCCAGGTGTCCTGGGTTCTGGTATAAATGCTGTAGTGTTGCTCAGAGAGAGACCCCTGGAGGGGACTTGGCGGGGGTGGGTGGAACCCGTGGCCCTGTGAGGATACAGTTGGCGGTTGTGGCAGGGGCACGTTAGGGCCAAAGGGTCACCTGTCCGGTGGAGGTAGCTGTGAACTGGAAGCTCCCCAGCATCATGCGCAGCAGTGACAGGAACTCTTTGTCCTCGTACTCAAAGCGGTCCCCAAAGACAATGGAGCTGATGACGTTGGAGACTGTTCTGCTCAGGTAGAAGGTAGGATCGATGAATGCGCCTGCCCGGGTGGGAGGGAGGGAGCGGCGGACAGTCAGAGGGCGGGCTGGTGCCCGTGTGAGAATTAGAGGCAGACAGAGCACTGCAGAAATGAGTCGGAAATCCTGGCGCCAGGCCCCAGAGCTGGTAGCTCCGACACTTTTCCCCTCCCGGTCCCCAGCCAGACGGAATGCACAGGCCTTGCCCTTCCGGATGTACCCCCTCTCCCTCCCGCCCCTCACTCCGGCGTCTCCAGCTCACCGCGCGTGTCCCGGAAAGCTTGGATGAGGAAACCCGCCTCTTCCTGGATGCGCTCCTCGATGCCGCGCTTGCCCACGCCGAAGTCCCGAAGCGTGGTGATGGAGAAGCGCCGGAGTTGCTTGGCGCGCTCTCCGTTGCTGAACGCAACACCTGCGGAGGTGAGCGCCAGGGGAAAGGGAGCCGTCAGAAAGGAGGGTGAGGAAGACATAGTCCATGCCGAAGGGCAAAAGTGTTGGGTAGTGCAGAGATGGAGGGAGTGGAAGACAGAAGGATTCAGAGCCAGAGAGCTACACAGCTAGGGATGCATACAGATTGGAGATGAGAGATCTATAGAAAGAGATAGAGACCCAGAAAGAAGACTATCACAAGAGAGGATCTGAGCGGCAAGACAGATGCAGGAGAAACAGACTTCCAATAAAAGAAAGCAAAGAGTGAGAGGAGAGGAGCACATGACAGAAGGGAAGGTGAGATTGTGCAGACCTGGAAGTGGAAATAAAAACTGTAAAGGATTCCAAACTGAACTGGAGAAGAAAGAAAAATGGGGGGGGGAGACAGAGAGAGAGAGAGAGAGAGAGAGAGACGGACAGACACAGACAGACAGACAGACAGAGAGAGACAGAGAGACAGAGAGGGCCTGGAGAGAAGAGAGATTATTGCCAGGAGATAGAGGAAAGGGGATTTGCAAGCAGACATTTTGTGAAATTCTGCCACGGAGAACAAGAAAGGGAGTGAGAAGGAAGGAAGAAAGATCAAATAAAGTCAGGGGAAGGATACCAGCAGGATCACTAAGAGATGGATCGGTCAGGGAAGGACGCGACTTCGCTATGAGAACGGTGTGTATGTGTGTGGGGTGAGGCAGGAAGAAAGTAGACACAGAAGCTCTAAGGCCAGAGACAGACATCTGAGAGGCGGCAGTGAACAGGCACGTGGCGAGAAGACGAGAGTCTCCATGGCCTTGAGTGGGCAGGTGAGTCAGTGGGAAAGGGTGGGGAGACTGAGACCACCATCTTCCTGACACATTCGCTCGCGTGGTGGCCCCTTACCATAGCCTTTGAAGAGCCAGTCGAAGGTGGCCTGCTCGCCTCGCCCACTGAATTCCTCAGCCTGATCCACCAGAGCCTCTTTTACCGCATCCTGTCCGCACAGCACCACAACCCGGCGAGGCCCCAGATGGATGGTGAACACAGGGCCATAGCGCTCGCTGATCTGATGGGATTGGGGAGAAGTGATTCCAGGGACCACTGTCTGGACTGACCCAGTACCCAGAAGTCAAGTACTGGGCTATATTTCTTCTAGTCAAGGGACTGAACACGTGTCTAAGACCTGGTTGCTTAACCTTTAAAACTACCTTATCCTAATATTCGGGTTCATCTTCACCAATCCTCTGTCACAAATCCCTAGCTAAGTAGGTAGCCCCCGACTCCCAGCCCATTTCCCACACCCCCGTGCCTGGTGACACCTTCATGAGGGAGTTGTACATCTGCTCTGTGTTCAGCTGCAGGTAGTTTCCAATGAAGGGCAGTGGGGTGGGTCCAGGAGGCAGCTTCCCCCAGAGCTTCCTCTGCCGCCAGATGGACATCAAGATCATTACACTCAGGCAGGCCAGCAAAGCCACCACAAGCAGCCCTGAGGCCAGCATGGTGGCGATGAGGGTAACAGACAAATGGTGATGGCTGAGATGGTTTGCTTTTATACTCCCTGGAAGAGATGCTTGGCCTTTTGTCCTGATTATATAATTGTCACATTTCACTTCCTGCCAAGCACTCCACCTAATTTGGCTCACAGCCTGGAAACAAGGAGATGGGGATGTTTGAGCACATTAGCAGGGAGTAGCTGCTACACTGCACTTTGGCACGCGTGGAAGGAAGTTCCCCAAGGCTGTGCGTTACCAAGAGGTGGGGGCAGTAGGTAAACTCTAGAACTGAAACCTTTGGAATATCTATATATGTGAGCTTCTGAGATTTGAATGTGGGGTCTCAGTCAGAAGGCCCCCAAAGCACGGGCTTTAGACTCTCAAAGGAGATGAATCCTAATGGCTTAGTTTCACTGACATAAGATGAGATGTGTGGCTGTGGATTTGGGAGTCTTTTAATGAGGAAGGACGTAGATTTTAAAGGTCCCAGGAGAGGAAATTCAGAAGTATGGATTTGAGAGTCCTTCTGTAAAAGGGAACCAGAACTGTGGATGTGATAGAGTTCCCAGGAGAAGAAGGATATGGAAGATCAAGTCCATCAAGATCCTGGAGTGAGCACCTGAGTCCAGATATGTTGACCTGCTTGACTTTGGCTTGGTGCTGTCCCTTGATCCCCAGAGTCCTCAAGGGAGCCTCAAATTAAGGCCAGGATGGACACCATAGAACTTAAGTGTGTCCACTGCTTATGTGTGTCTGGGAAAAGGTTGGAAGATGGGTCACATTTCAGTGACACTTTGCACGGAATTAGAGAAAAACAACTCATGGTCGCAGTTGGCACAGGGACTGACCAGGCCTTGGCAAAGAATAATAACAACCACCAAAGCAGTGGAAAATCCCAATTGTCCTGAGAGTTTTACTTAAAAAGAGTCCCAATGGGCTACCCAGGTCCTTGGGGAAGCACACTGGTTTCACTGAATCATTTCTATTATTGTTATTGTGAACATTTCCTATTCATCTATGTGTGCATTAAGAACATAATAGAGGGCAGAAAACCCATGTATGAGAGGCCTTTAAAGCCAGGCACTTAAACTCTTGCTTCTCCTACTTTTTTTCCCCTTTCTGGACTTTGGTCTCCCCACCTATGCAAAGGGAACATTTTGGGAACTGAAGGTCAAATTTGAAAGTGTGCTCAATTTCCTCTACAGGTGATTCTTGGTTTGTCCAGGCCTGTAGTGAGCAGGCAGAGGAAACTCTAGCAGAAGAGACTTAAGAAAACACCACTATGGAGAGAAATGAAGGGACCCTGTGACACTGAAGATCAGGTAGAGGAGGGATGAGGGGCTCTGTTGTCTTTTCTTCACTGCAATTCACTCTCAAATTAAGAATGATTATCTTTTAGTGAGCTTGTTGAATTCTAGGAAGATTATTAAATCTATGTGTGAATGATTTTTTTTTGAATTTTTTAACCCTAGAACTGGCTTATGCTCTACCTCACTGTGATCACCAAGGTGAAAAGTGAGTGAGCTAGGATTTGAATTCTCTCCTCTTTTCTTTTTCTGGCCTAGCCCACCTAGGGGACTAAATGAGGACCGACTTAAGAGGAGGTTGATGCTGAGATTGGCATCAGCAGTGGATTACACTGGAAGGTGCAGATACCAGTATCAAGTAGACCTAGGGAAGGAGGGGCATAAGACTGGCATTGAGACAGCCTCTACATATATATGTGCTGGAGCCAGTATAGGGGAAGAAGTTGGCACTGAATCTGACACCAAGAGAATATTAGAGAAACCACCTGTGATGCCAAAATGATTCTGAGAGTGGCCCTAGTTGGACAATGAAGTTACCTTCAAGAAAGTGTATGCTGGTACTACTGAAGTTGGTCCCAGAAGGTTCTGTCATGAATTTTAGGGACTTTCTGATATTAAGCCTCTGTGGCCTTGAGACAGACCTCAGACAGACCCTGGGAAGGGCCTTCTGTGGGCACTGGGCAATGGGAGAGCTTTGATGGTTGCACTTCCCAGGGTTGCACCTGCCCCATGGTCTCTAACTTTGGATAAGTAGAGGTAGGGGAGGTTGGTCCTCCCAAGACTTGCTTTGCTTCACCTGTTCCAGGCTGCTGGATTTTGAGACCTGTTGGGAGGGAACAAAGTGGAGACACAAGTTGTTTGTTGATACTGGTGTTGGTTTTAGAGGAGAAAGAAGTAGAGAGGAGGATTAGCTCTGGCTTGTCAGGTATTAATCCCCTAATTTTGATTACCAGCCTGCACCTGGGTTGGCCCTGGGCCCTGGCCTTTATTTTCTTGAGTCAGAGAGAAGGAGAAATTTGAAGACCTTGTTACTCAGGGAAGTTGGCACCAAAAGGCCCTGAGTGTTCAGATAGATTCCCATGGGCTTTTGGGGGCAGAGGTAGAATGGGAGAAGTACTTGGGGCCACAAAGGTCAACTGTGTTTGTCTTTGGTGGTTTTCCTGAAACATGGGGTGAGGGATCAGTGCCTGAAAGGGAGGGCCACGTGCTGGTGGCAGTGTCTTGTTACAGGCTTGAAGAGTGATCTATTGGCGAACCCAAGAAATTTCCTTCCCCCTGTTGCACCTGTTTCCTTTTCTGGATGAGAGGGTTCCTATGAGGATGGATGGTTAAGAGCAAGGTTAAGGCATACACTGGATTCCCAGCTCATCACTTTTTCTGTGTAATCTTGAGGAAGTGAGTCATTTGAGTCCTTAGGAAGTCTCTTATCTTATTTTGGTGAGGGGTATGTAAGTTAATTCAGGCTTCATACAAATCAGAAAAACGCACAGGAAATGTTAGCTACTTTATTCATTTATTGTTATTAGAGCTTACTAATTTGAAAGATAGAAGAAATGGATAGGCACTCCTCTAGGCCTGTGATGGCCAGCCTTTTTTGAGATGAATATCCAAACTGCAACCAAAATCCTCTATTTATCACAAAGTGGCAACACTGCAATTAAACCTGAATACTGAGATTTAGTTTAGAAAAAAACTACCTCTTACATTAGCATCCTTTGTCTTCAAAGAAAAGCAACACATGTGCTATAGGTTTGCCTTTATATTTTCTGGCTTCCTATAGCTTCATTTTAGGGAAAAGGGCAATGGAGAGAGTTTCTCGGGGAACCTCCCTCCCAAGACACCTGTCAGGCTTTGCATCTGTCTATGTCTGTGGTTTAAATATGCACATGCTTTTGATAGGTCATTTGGAGGTGGTCTACAGTGCGTATTTGTGCCCAGCCTGTGTTATAACCATATGGATTTTTTTGTGTATATTCTGGCGTTAATATGCATGCATGGAGGTCATGTTATGTTACAGCTGAACATCTGATACTTGGCTATGGTTGTGTTTGGATTGAAACATAACTCTGGCCTAGCTCCATTTCTTTTCTTGAAAATAAACAACTCTTTTATTTTACAAAGTGTTTACTTTCCTCGGTTTTCAAGAGTCTTAGCAGGTGAAAAGCCTCCATGGAACAGGTGTGTCCTTGAGTGTTCCCAAGGTTGATAACTTCCCAGTGGATAAATTTAAATATCCTCTTAGAAAATTGTCTTTCTCACGATATCATCTCCAACCTCCTAAGATATTCAACACATTTGACAGAGTCATCCTACTGAATAGCGCTAACCCTGTGCCAGCAGACACAGAGATGACCAGAGGACACTGGGCCTTGCCTCGATGAGGGCTCATTTGAAAGAGGAAGACAGACCCATCATCAAACAGTGACAGCTAAGAGTGAACAGTGCTGTGGAAGAGAGGAATGGGCAGAGGGACAGGGGCAGGAGGGGTAAGAGGAGGTGTCTTGAGGAACCCAAAAATGATCCTATCAAATGTACCTGAAATATATGATCTTGTCCTAACTTGTCCTAAATGAGAGGATGTTCTCCCTCTCCCTCCCTCCCTCTCTCTCTCTCTCAAGTTGAGATGAAGTAACAAATATGTCATTTTATTTTATTTATTTTTTTTAAATTGAGTTTATTGGTACATTTTAGGTGTACAGTACAGTTACATTCACTATTGGGATCTTGTACCTCTCTACATGACAGGTCTTGGTTCTCATTTTTTCCCCTTGTCCCTGCCCTCCCTTCATCCCCTCCTCCCCTCTCCATTTACAAAAACTTTATTTCCATCTTTTCATTTTCTCACATTTTTTTCTTTTCCCTTATTACCCTTCCCCTACCCATCCCACCTTCCCTACACCTGTAGCCCCTTTCTTCCCATTTCACAAAGTCAGTTATCCCATTAGGATCTTATGAACTATTACAGTTTATTCACACCAGAGAAACTATTCGGTATTTACACATGTGTGACTTATTTATTTCACTTAGGAGTATATCCTCAACATGTATCCATTTTCCTATGAATGAATCGAATTTCTCATTCTTTATGGCTGAGTAGTATTCCATTTTATAGAAAAACCACATCTTTATCCAGTTTCCAACTGATGGGCAAATGGGCTGTTTCCAAGTTTTAGCTATTACAAACTGTACTGCTATAAACATGGATGTGCATATATCACTGTGATATGATTCTTTTAATTCTTTTGGAAAGATACCCAGCAGAGGATGGCTGGGTCAAATGGAACCTCTAGTCCCAGCTCTTTGAGGTATCTCCATATTGATTTCCATAGTGGTTGTACCAGTCTGCAGTCCCACCAACAATGGAGAAGGGTTCCTTTCTCCCCACAACACTGCCAACATTTGTTATTGGTTGATTTCTTGGCAGCAGCCATTCTGTGTGGGGTGAGGTGGAATCTCAGTGTTGTTTTCATCTGCATCACTCGAATGACCAGTGATGTGGAACATTTTTTTCATATACTTACTGCTTTTACTTATTTGTCTGTTCATTTCAGATGTCCATTTTTTTCAGCTTTAATTGAGTTTATTGGTACATTTTAGGGATACAGTACAGTTACATTCATTGTTGGGATCTTGTACCTCTACATGACAAGTCTTGATTCTCATTTTTCCTCTTACCCCTGCCCTCCCTTCACCGCCTCCTCCCCTCCCCATCTACA